GCCCCGCATTAAATTATATTTCTAACATAAACATGTATATTCTGAATTTATTCTATTTTGGAAATACATTATCGTTTCTGGGAGTGTTAGCAGTGGTTCTATTTAACCACAGGGAGGGCTGGAGCAGGGATCACGGCATGGTTGGGGCTGGGTCTGCAGACTGCAGCAGAGAAGCAGCGCCTGGCACGGCCCGCTGAGGCCAAGGGAAGCTGAACCCTGCTGCTCACGCACATTCAGAACTCAAGTCCTAGGTGTTCCAGAGGCAGAAGAGCAGGGTGTCCATCGCGTGGCTGAACTGCACCCACAGCTCCACTAGCTGGGCCTTTGTCCATCCTGAGCCCCCATCTAGCTTGGTCTCTCTGGGTCTCAACTCCTTCCCTGCTAACTCCCCCAACTCCTTTGGGCCTATGGAGAGGACAGAGGCTCAGTCACGAAGTGGGAAGGGGACAGGATTAGAGGAGTGTGGGGCCCAGTGTGAAGGGCAAGTGTGGGCAGTGCTGACTTCCCTTACCAGGCAGGTGGGTGGGGGTGAGACCCAAGCTCTTATTTCCCTTCTGGGGCGCAGTGGGACAGCATCTCCCTGGGCTGGTGCAGTGGAGCAGCAGGGAGTGGAGCCACCGAGGCAGGGGTGGGGGCTGGGTGGTGGCCACGTGCAGCTGGTAGGTAATGAAGACGGTCTCCAGCAGGTTGCCCACCATCAGGGAGAGGCGAAGTAGACACCTTGGGTGGGGATAAGAAGCAGGCTTGAGGCAGGTCCACAGGTACCACGACTAAGCCACCCTTTTCCCTATTTCACACAGAGGGCCCTTTCTGAGATGCTCTTTTTCTCCTTTCTGCCTCAGGAGCCCCAGCAGCCCTAAAAGAAAAGACTTCTTTTTCTTTTTCCATTTTCCAACTGTGGGAGGAGCTGTACTGATGATGGGTGACACTAGCGGGGAGTAGTGTATTCACCATGCGCAGGAAGATGTTGCAGCCCAGCTGAATGGTGGCCTCGAATGGGGCACGATTCGCACTTTCTGCTGGTAGGTAGAAGCTGAGGGCATCGATGGCAAGCAGAAAGCCCCTGGGGGCCGGGCGTGGTGGCTTAGGCCTGTAATCCCAGCACTTTGGGAGGCCGATGTGGAAGGATCTCTTGAGGCTAGGAGTTCGATGTTTCAGTGAGTAGTGATTGTGCCAATGCACTCCAGCCTGGGCGATAGAGTGAGACCCTGTCTCTAAAAAATATATAGATAAATAAATTTAAAGAAAGCCACTGTGCACCAGAAAGTTTATCACACGGAGTCTGGGCCTGCACCTGATGGCCACCCGGTGAGGAGGAATGAGCAGAGAACTGGTGAACCCAGCCCTAAAGGGGGCCCAAATGCTGGTTCCAGCCCCATCCTTCTTTGGTGTCCTCACACCAGCAAGGGCTCTCTCTGGGGCTGAAAGAGAAGCAGTTTTTATGTGACTAACAAGATGCCCCCGTACCTCCAAACAAACCCTAGGTCAGAGCTGGCAGCTTTCAAAAGGGGTGTTGCTTTGAGGGACTTGGGAGAGAGGAAGGCTCCGAGGGCTATGGTGCCCAAGGGCCATCTGGTCTTGGGGTAAGAAGTAAGAGGATCTGCCTGTTGGACTCAGATGGGTCTGGTGAGGGAGGAGGTGGTAGTGAGGGGTACAACTATGCCAGATTCTCTAGGTTCACAGACAACATGATTTGGTCAAAAAGACTGGAACCCACAGATATCTTCAGGGTGGCCTTGTTGATGCCCAGGAGCTCCCACTTCCACTGTGTTTGGACAGTGTCACTTGAAGTACCTATTTCCTATACTTCCTTGTCCATGCCCATGTTATCCCCTGCAGGAGAGACAAACATTTATTCAACACACATCTGCCTGGCACCTGCTCGTGCGGGTGTGATGAATTAGAAAACTAATTCAGCTACCTTTTCCAGATTGCCCAATATAATGACTTCCTTGCTGCTTATTTGCCTCCTTTCTATTCTGGGGTGTCTCAGTGTCTCACTCCTTTCTGTTGCAGGATCTTTAGGGTGTCACTTTTCTGGCCGGAAACCTCTGTGGCCAGTGGTGCCTTTGTCTGAGTTTTGCTTGGGTCCACTAGGCTCATTCTGCCCACTCGGCTTGACCGGCTGCACCTGGCTCATGCTACCAGCCTGGATCCCACCCCTCCAAGGGCAAGCCAGGTATGGAGTGGCGAGGAGTGTGTGAGTGAGTGAGTGTGGAGTCTGGCCACTGTGCACAGTCAGGCACACCAGCTGCTGCAGTGGGCAGCTCCAGGTGCTGACATGGCTGCTGGCTGTCTGCAAGGCTGCGGCTGGACCAGGCACACCGTAAGCAGCTTCCATGACTGCCGCCGGGGGAACACAATAACACCTGGAAGCTTGGAGATTCCAGGGACTGCAGGGCCTCTAAGAGGGAGTCACAGTCCTGGCTTTGGGAGCTCCTGGGTCTGGGCTTCCCGAAGGGCCGCAGCTCTTCTCTCCTCTTCAGCCACAACTTGGTGAGCAAGGGCTGTGTTTCAGTCCTGCCACTGGGCAGGTCCTGAGTTATTGTCCTGTGTCCTGGAAGAATGAGGTAAGCAGACAAGCAGAGGGTAAGCAAGATGAAGAGGAGATTTATTGAGTGACAGAATAGCTCAGAGGAGGCCCTGGGGTGAATAGCTCCTCTCTGCAGCTGGTCTTCCTGCCGTCTGCACCTCTCAGCAGACAG